TGTCAGTAACACATGCACAGGGAAAGTTACTTATAAACATGACTTAGCAGGTGCCAAATACATCTTCAACTTTGGACAGGAAAATGATTTCTAGGTGGAAAATCCAGTCAGCCCAACTTTTTTTTTTCCAATGGAGTTGTCTAGCTTTTGGAAGAGGCAGTAGGCAATCTGAAAAGGTTACAGAGCTCTCCTCATACTGGCTTAAGCAGGGTTGAAAATCCAGGTTAACCTGCTTGCAAACACTATAACCAGGAATAGAAGCATAAGTAGAAAACACTATCTTGTCAGTGTGTGCTACATTAAGAATCTTACCAAAATATACTCTTCGCTTTGAAATAAGAGGTAGTCTTAAGATTCATTGTCAGTTTTTATGGTGCTATGTGCACCCAGCAGAGAGAGACAGATGGAGAGAACACTCCCCACTAGGGTGTGGTCACACCCCCATCCCTTCTCTTTTATTTCTTAGTCCTTTTGAGATTTTTGGGCATGCACATAAGCATGCCCAGTGTCTTTTTTCAAGCTGTTGGGGCCAGAATTTGAATCTTACAGTTGGCTATGTGGGATCCAGCTCCCTTAACCACCAGACCGCGGGGTTGGCCAACTATCCAGACTGTTTTAAGGAAGGGGGAAAACATTTATGGAATTCTGCTAGGGAGATGGAGTTGTTTTAGAACTCACAGAACTCTCTGCATTGTTGCGCTGGTGGAGGTAGGTTCTCATTATTTTGTGCAGGTGCGGGAGCTCAGAGGATTTCTGTGCCTTGTCCAGGGAAAGTCATCTTGTAAATGCAAGAGAACAAGACTTCAGCTGAGGTTTTCAGGCTCAAAAATCAAGCTCACTTCCCAGAATAGTGTAAGAATAGGATTTAGAGACCTGGCAGAGGGAGGAGATGGCTTGGATAAGATCTGCCCCTGTTGAACTTACTTCCAGTTCTTCTCCTGACAACCTGTTTTGAATTCCTAGGACGTGTGGTGTAGCTTTTTATGTTTTTTTTTCCATTGGTTTGAGCTTTAATATCCAACTTTCTTCTTCCTGTTTCAGTGTCACTTAATGTAACCCATCTTATATTTATATTGTCTTTGCTTTCATCTTCATTTGTTTTTTGATAACTTTAATATTATTAAAGGTTTACAAGTTCTTTCATACTGGGTCTTAACTGTACTCTAACCATGTTAATTTTTATCTCGAAGCCATTCTATGTAATAACACAGTTATTATTAATTAAAGGGCATCTTCTCTTTTTAAACCAAGATAAATTCCAGCTAGATCAAGTAATTAAGTCTAAAATGTGCAACCATAGCAGCACCAGAAGAAAATTAAGAACAGCTCTTATAATTTGGTGTGTTCTAATCCTTATTCAAAGGCCAGGAACATAGGAGGAAAATTCTTTAATTTGAGCACATAAAAACTTAGTTACCAGCTGGTGGGATGGCAGGTAATACTATGCTTCATAATGCCAAGCCCCCCTGGGAAGGTCTTGGGTTTGGATTCTGAAGTCTCCTTGTGCACGCTAGTTGCCCATGATTTGGACTGGATGGGGGTGGGTCACAGCATGACGACCCTGTTGGGGGCCCCTTCTTCATAGAAGAAAGAAAGGAACTTAACAATATTGAAGTGCTATATAGCAGAAGTCTATATTAATAAGCAAGATTGAAAGACAAGTGGCAAGCTGGGCAAATCATGATAAAGGGTTTATATTTGTCTTAATGTAAAGAACTACTACAAAGAGAAAACTAGTTAACTGCTGATGGGAAAATAGAGAAAGGAGAAATACTATGGACTAATAAATATATGAAAGGATGTGTAATTTCAGGAATAATCCAAGTAGCACAAATAAAAATAAGGTCATTTTTTTAACGTATTAGATGGGAAAAGATTTTTCAAAAGGTCAACAGAACCTAATATTGACACTGGGTGGGAGAAGCGCCCTCATAAACTGGCAGTAATGTGAATTGGTACAGCTTTCTATGCTGGGCCATTTGGCAGCATGCTTTACAGTTGAAAATATGCACACACTTTGACCCAGCAATTTCACTTGTGGAGATTTCTCTTAGAGTGTGGAAGGGTTGTTTGACATCGAGTTCATGATTGTAGAAAATTAAGCAAATAACAAATATCCGTTGTTATCAGGAGTGCTTAAACATCAGCATGCTTACGTAATGAAATATGTTGATGGCAATGCCACAGTCTCTTCTCGTCCATGCTCTTCTCAGAATTTTGGGCACACATACACATGTGCCTGGTACGATTTTCAAGTTGCGAGGTCCTGGACTTGAATCATTACATGTGGCTACCTTAACATCTGTGCCACCTCCTGGCCCAATGACATACTTTTAAATATCTGTGATAATTGACTGGGAGAATGTCTATGACACATTTTTGAATGGAAAACAAATTACAGAAAGGCCATATATGTAATGGGACCTTTGGCATTAAAGCATTTTTTCTTACTATAGGTTTCTGCACATAGGCATCTTCAAATGAAGTTCATGGAAAATGTGCAGTACAGAAAAACTGCATGGTTTAAAGATAATTTTTTTGCTCCAAAATTTGTCTGTTTTTTCATGAACTTTTTGAAGCCTCCACTCATACAGCAAGACCTTGAAATGCTGGTTCACAATCACCGAAATGTTACTCAGGCTTTGTCCCGGGTGATGGACTCAGGGTTACTTTATGTGCCTTTTATATTTATCTATGTCTGTACACATATTCTTGCTTGTGTGTTTGTTCAAAGTAGCATGTATCATTTTAAAAACTGCAATACCTTGGGGCCAGCAGATGGCATAGTGTTTAGTTCTTTGGATTCCCTCATGGTTGACCATGGTTTGAGTCTTGGACCCATTGGCTTAAAACTCAGCGTGGGCTTGCAAGCATGCATGCTTAAAATCCTGGGAGAATGGAGGAGAAGTGATTGGATTGCAGTGTGGCCATCCCACTGCTGGGTGCTTTCTGTTTTTCCCTCTTACTGCCTCTCTGGCAGATGCCCCAAGGCAAAAATCTCTTATAAAACAAAAACAAAACTAGAATACTTTAAGAGTGAATTTCAGAAAGGGAAAAGCCCAGAATGCTCTTGGAATCTATGCAGGTAGGGAGTTGGGAGCAAGGGCCTAAGAGTCTACAAAGGGCCCTATTCCTTGATGTGCACCCAAATACAAGAGTGCAGAACCCTGTCATAAAGCAGAGGGGGAAGCCTGCCATGCTTTCTAGGAGAGCCAGGACCTTAGCTAGTGTGAGTGGGTGGCTGTGATCAAATGAACCTGGTGGGGCTGACCTCCTTCTGTTTGTTCACCTGGTACAGCTGCCCCGTTTGGCATGTATCTGTTTGCCCCACTGCCTAAAGCAAGGTCATGGGTCTGCTCTAGAGAGCAGTCATTTCTGCTTTGAGGACATTTCTTCCTGGCATGGTAGTAATCCATCTCATTGGTGGTCAGGGAGAATTGGGCTGGTTGGCCTAAATCTAGTCCCATAAAGCCCACTGGAATCATCTTAGAGGACAAAGGGTGGCCCTTTTTAATGTATTGGGATATTGGTAAAGTCATGACTTATTTTTATTCCTATTTCTATGCAAAAATGTGTCATGACATTTCTGATAACCCAATACTTGCTATGAAGTTTCTGGGGTTTCTACTTTTTAAAATTCTATTTTCTGTATTTCGGCATGGACAGTATACTCTACAATTTTCTTCTCTTTGTGATCTCTTTCATTGCCTAATTCAGTAATATAGGTGGCGTTTAGTGAGCTTTGACAGAAAAAATGATGAAATAAATAAGGTCAACCCTGGGATTCTTCAGAGGTGACTTTCTTTTTTTTAAAGGAGGAGAAACTGGTTCTTCTGAGTTTAGAGGAAAGCAGAGCTGCTTTGCATTGCTGTAGGGTGTTGGAAGTGGGCAGGTCTTCTTCTCCAAGGCTGGAAGCAGAGTACTTTTCTCTTCCCTCTCTGGACAGTTTGTTTGTTAAAGGAGAGGGACTGCTGTGGGTATGAAGCTGAGCAGGGACTTTGCCTGCTTTCTTTAGAACAGCTTGTGCCACAGACACTCTGGGAGACACTCAGGGCACATTTTATTCATGTTACATTCACCCAAACTTGGAGTCCTGGCTGTGAGGTCTTTGCATTTGATGTTGAGTTGTGGTGAAACTTGGACATTGCAGCTTGACCATTTCTTTAGATCTCAGTTCTGTTTTTGGCCGTCTTCTCTTGGTTTGTTTAAATGCTGTTAGGGATGACTAATAACATTAAAACTGTGTCTCAGGGAGCCAGCAGATGGCATAGCTATTACGTTGCTGGACTCCCACATGGTCAGTCGTTGTTCGAATCTGGACCTGGTGGCTTGAAAGTCATGCCGTGTGTGTGTGTGTGTGTGTGTGTGTGTGTGTGTATGTGTGTGTGCCCAAGGAGAATGGAGAAGGGACTGTGGCGTGGCTATCCTATCCCCTCTGGGGGGGGTGACTTCTCATCAACCCCCCATGAGTGCACATGCCCTAAGACAAAAACCTCCACACACACAAAAAAATCAGTACTGTGTCAGTTGTTTGGGCCAAGAATGAAGGATGTCAGTGAGCCTGTCTCATCTGTTCTCTCACCTTCCGCCTTGTCTTTGTCCAGTGCTGTTGCTACAGTGGCTTTTGATGCCAGTTTGAATGAACTTGCTCTAACAAGATCTGTGTGCCATGGTTTTCGATCATCACCGAAAACATGTACTAAAGGGCTGGCAGTGACTAGATTAAATGATCATATGGCTCGAACCACAGGTTTTCTCACTCAGTCTAGTCATCATCTCTTATCCAGTGACCAGTGAAGCATGCATTTGTGTCTTATTTTACAGGTAAGGTTAGTACCGACTGTTTATCTCGAGATACATACTAATAATACAACCCGAGGAAACAATTTTATGCCTTCTCGAGTGAGGTGGAAGAGGACTAAAGTGTTGAGGTATAATGTTTCACCTTTCTGAACTGATTGTCAAGTATTCTAAACATTTGTATGGCTTTGTCTTTATAGACTGAAATCGCCAAGAGATTGAATACGATTTGTGCACAAGTCATCCCCTTTCTGTCTCAGGAAGTAAGTAAAACTGTTCAGCTGTTAAAGTGCAATTATGTTGCTTCTCTGTTTGCAAATTAGCTAGTTTTAAGATGTTAATTTTATCACAAGGAACAAGTGTGAAGAACATCTGTTACAGCTGAAGTGTGTAAACCCCCTGCTATTCTAGCTAACACATCTGAGGGCACGCTGTAGCAGTGGTGAAAATAGCTCAACCCCAAATTAATTTTTTTTTTCTTGTAGAAACCTGTAAAATGACTATCAAACATCAAGTTTTTGTTTTCTTTGAGTAGTAGTAGTTTGGTAGCTGCTCATGAGTCTGGCGTCCTTTGTATCTTTTAAGTAGAGAGTGTTTCTTATATTGACTTAAAAATAATTCCATCAGAATTGCCTTTACCATGGAAGCGGACGTTTCTTTAGTACTTTTGTGTATTAACTCAGTTAACTTAATATGCTGTCCGTGAGGCCAGCAGATGGCATAGTTAAGGCTCTGGACTCCAACGTGGCTGATCACGGTTCAAGTCTCGAACCTGGTGGTCTGTTTTCTCATCCCCCACCTCCTGGTCTCTCTTTGGTAAATTAAAATAATAATAAACTAGTTAAGTAAATAAATAATTCTTTTTAAAAATGCTGTTCTTTGAAGGAGTGGATGATAATAGTCATAAAGATAAAATTCACATTCCCATTGTGTCAACTTTTCCTGAGTTACAAGTGTGTATAGGGGTCTTGAAAAAGTACATAGAAAAATATGAAAAAACTGTGCACGGGTATCAGGGTTATTTTGCACTAAAGTAAACTCACACTTTAATTTCATGAACTTTGTTTTGTTTTGAATTTTATTTATTTTTATTTTGCCAGAGGGTACCTGTTCTTGCTAGAGAGAGGGAGGAAGTACTCCCCAATAGGGCTTGGTTACTCTGTAATTTTTTATTTTCCATCTACCTTGTCAAATTTGGGGTATGCACACACACATACCAGCATGTATTTCAAGCAACCAGGGCCAGTCCTCAGGAACTTTTGTTTGTTTGGTTGGTTGGCTGGTTGGTGTGTTTTTTTTTTGCCAACGGTACATAGGCTCATCAGAGAAAGGCAGTGAGAGAAAAAGTGAGAAATCCTCCCGGGGAGTGGCCATCTGCAATGCCTTCTCTGTTCTTCTGGGATTTGGGGCATGCACGCACACACGCCCCGCATGATTTTCAAGCCACCAGGTTTAGGACTGAAATCATGGCCGGCCGTGTGGGAGACCATTGATTTAACCACCAAGCCACCTTACTGGTGGAATTTTTGAAATCCTCAGGAACTTTTTGAGATCCCTAATATGAGCCATTTATTTAGTTACAAAATCATGGAGATTTAACCTTCATATTTAGCTAGGGAAGATCTTCATATCTTTGAACTTGACCCAAGACGATTATATTTTAGTTTTGCTTTGAAACTTTACCTCCTTTTGGGTATAAGCTACTGAATGCCGCAGTGTGTTTTAAGTGTGTCCAGGACAAATATATCTTGAGGCAGGGTGAAAAGCTTATTGGGTGGGGAGCTGGGATCTGAGGAGTCTGTTCTAGTTGGCACCTACTGCCCTGTGCTAGTCACCACCTCTGCTGTTGAAGCAGTCTCTTTCAGCATAACATTGTATGGTGTTACAGGTTAGGTTTGTTGGCCTTTTGAATCTAGCTTGTTAGAATTTAGAGATCCTGGTCTCTGCTAGTATAGTCCTATGCCTCCCAAAGCCAACTCATGGCTTTGTTTATATTTGTGGGTAGTGTTGGGAGGCATGCCGGGTGAGTTTCCATCCTCTGGCTAAAAAGAGAGGAATTCCCCAGAATTTCCCAAAACTACTCGTGGGACTGTTTCTATCTGTTGATCAGACAAATGATCAGATTTCATGTTTAGATTTTGAGTATTTGAAGAAGTGCACTTCCGTGCACCACTTCTGCCCAAATGCATCATCATAAAGCCTTTTGTGAACCAGAGGGCTCTTCGATTTATTTCCTAAGGCCTCAAGTCCCCATTCTCTATGTCCTTTCTGGCTCTCTACCATTCCAAGCCATAATTTACCATCAGAAGTTGGGTGGTAAATGGTGTTTAGAAGCAAAGAAAAGCATCCTTCTCAGTTTTTCATTTCCTCTGTTCTATGAAATTACATGTGGTTGTCTTTGTAAACCCTTGTACTTTAGCTTGCGTTGCATGTGTCTTCTGTCGATAGACTGTCCAGCAATGTTCTTAGCTGTTGCTAACACTTTTTCTTCTCCTTGTTTTCAAAGCATCAACAACAGGTGGCTCAGGCTGTCGAACGTGCCAAGCAGGTGACCATGGCAGAGTTGAATGCCATCATCGGGGTACGTGGCCTACCAGGTCTACCTCCTACAGTGTGTATAACCAGCTTTCATTTCTTACTAATTTGTTGGTTTAATATATCTATATATATAGCCTTGTATAGCTTAACATTGACCTATTTGATATGGGTGGGAGGAAAGAGTTTTAAGATATAACTGAGGTGTATATAGGAAGAGAGCTTAGCATAAGGAAGATAATAGGAGAAACTTTGTAGCAGGGCAAGGAAAATAAATCTGCTTTTAAATGGGAAAATGAATATAGTTTATCCTGTGATATTTAAACTACCCTTGCTCCATTAGTCAAGGAAAAAGCTTTAGGTTAGTGTTTTAAATGCTTTCTTTCCTTCCGTCTTCCAGCCTTAGATCACAGTGAGGTCAAGACAGAGCTCTGAATCGCCATTTCATTTTGCCATCTTTCCTTCTGCCTTTTGCTTTCTAGGGTATTTGAAACGACATAGCTGTTTGCTCTTTCTCTTTCTTGTGCCTATTCCATGAATTTGTAAGTGGCATGCCAATGAAAAGACTGTTCTCTTGCCATGGGAGAAGTGTTCATTGTCCGCCCTGGTGCTCTCTAGCCTTTCACCAGGTCTCTGCACTCCTCTGAGTTCAGTCAGTGTGCCTTGCTGGCCACTGGCTGTCAATCACAAGTCATTTGCTCTGCATTAAGGAACCCAGTGAACCGTGTGGTCCATCCCCTGCATGAGTTCATTCTCCCCCACCCACTGCAGGCCCTGGGTCGGTTCTCATGTGTTCTGCCCTTTCCAGACTAAGCGAAAGAAATAGTTGAAACAAGGGACAGTCCTTTCTGATTTTATTCATATGTGAGTGCCTTGAGCGGATTCAAATCACTCATTTATCAATTTATGTTAATTGCTTGTGAGAAGATGCCCTGCTGGTCTTTATAGTTCCCTCAGACACTTTGTAATGATAATTAGACATGCTGCTGTACGGATTAAGAGTGCCATAGTCCAATGACGCCACAGACAATGGAACCAGTTAATCCATCAGGGCTTAAAATTACATCCCAACTGGAGATGGAGAAAAAACATAAGAGCCAAGGAGGATTAAAGAATGAGCCTCAGCTTGAAAACTCTCCTTTCATCAGTTTCTCAATTGCAGATCTGCAGTTGGGTTGCCTGTGGTAAGCTATTGGCAGTCAATTAGGTGAAATAAACTGGGAGGGTGACCTTCATTTCCTTTTAATAGCTTTTTCCTCCCTGAAATGGGGAGCTTCAGTGGATTTTCAGCTTAAATTTTATTCAAGCTGCTTTATTACACTTGACAGCTTAGCTCTGCATAAACAATTCTTCCTCCCCTTCCCCCCCCCAGATCCAGGCTCTGCCTTGCTCCCCCTTCCGTATCACATTTTTGACTGTTACTTAGTGGGCTCTCTAATCACATTCAGCAAAAAACACAATTACATCTGCATTTGTCTGCTGCCTTCTGTACCCTTTTCTTGTGTAATGAATTGCTTTATTTCAGAGATCAAATCAAATATTCACTGGTACTTTTGCATGTACCGTGTTTGATTAGCAAAGACTAATAGTGAATTGTACTTGTAGCTCGAGCACAGAATTTTTTAACCCAAATGAATGAGGTGGAAAAGCCTGTTTTGATTAAAGGAAAACATATGCAAAGCAGTCCTCGAGTACCCAGTTAAACTTAGTGGAACATGTTTGTTTTCTGATAGGCTCTCAGTTTTTACATAGAATTTGTAGATGGCAAAACTCTTAGGTTGATAGCGTCAAAGGCACTGTCCAGCCCCATGAATCTCCTTCCTTGGACCTGCACTTTAGAGAGGAGGAAACTGTGCTAAGCAGATGTTCATAGGCAATACCCATTTTGTGCTGAATCAGAAAATAAAAATAGCAGGTTGCTTTAGAAGGGCAGGTGAAGTCACTGTTTTTATGAATGGCTTTAGTTCCGGGAGAATGTTGTTGAGATTATAAAGGCAGATTAGCTCTGATAGTGAGTAGCAATAACCCAAATCAGCGAATTGGCCCTGACACAAGGCTTATGCCCATTGCTTGTCCTCAGTACACTGGCATGTGCAGTTTTTATCATTGTAATTTTTGGATCAGTATATTAATTTATGTCAGAGGCTCTTTTAAAGTTTGTAATGATCAATAATTACCCTGCACCATAAGTTTCATGCTCTGGCATATGCTTGATTTTTGCTTGAAAGGAATTGTGTGCGTCCTGGAAAATCGAAGTAGCATAAAATTGGGTTGACAATTCAGTGGACCTTTGCACCCCTTCATTGAACATGCAGTGTGTCAACCTGTCTCCCTGGAGGGGAGGAGGTACCGGGAGACTGTCTGTTCCTACAAGCAGCAGCTGCGCAGAGTAAATGCAGCCTGGTTTGATAGCAGCTGTCAGTATTGTTCAGGGACCGACTTAGGGTGAAGAACAATGGGAGAGGCCACGCTCTTAGTCTGCATCGACTTTCAGGCTAAGAAAAGAAATAGTAATTTAACGGTTTAGACATCTATTACAAGTGTGAAAGATCATGAAAGAGTACCCTTTAAAATGCAAATGAGCCGAAACATTCTCATTCCCTTTAAGGTACAATCAAGGAGCTTACTGCTTGCTTGACAGGACTAAAGATATTTCTCTTTAGCAAACCTGGAAAAAGTTAAATCTTCTCAAGGACACCAAGCTTCTGGGTAAGCTCATCGTGTGTCCCGGGCCTGTGGGTACTCTTAGGAGGAAGAAAGAGGTTATATTTTTTCTGTCCTTGTTCAGTGACTTAGTGGTGCCTATTTCTCACCAGCATAAAAATCTTAATTCTTATATTCTATAGAAAATACTGAATTTTAATTCTTTTCCAGCATAGCATCTGTCTTCAATTTACACAGAGTACTAGGATTTAAGGAAGATAGCTTCTTAAATACTTGATATTTGGAGAAACTATTAAAATATTTTTGTTTGAATTTTTTGAAAACAGTTTTGACTGATAGCAGATTTGATAATTGGCAGAAAAACTACAACCTTAACTTTATGAATTTTGCTTCTTTAAAAACTCTTTTTGCCGTGAGACATGTTGTGCTCTTGTAACCATAAAAAGGAGGTAATTAATAATGCAGAAACGGTAATAGGCATAGGGCTTATTTAGTTTAATACACAAGCGCACTCAGGTGTTAGAGAACAAGTTGTATTGCGGAAAGGGAACTTACTCATTTGAGGCTTGAGGATTGTCTTCATACTTCAGGCAACATTCCTTGGAGGTTTCCTTTTTTTAAAATTTGGAATTAAGGGGCCAGCAGGTGGCATGGTGGCTAGCAGCTAGATTCCCACGTGGTTGACTCCAGTTCGAAACACAGACCCAGGGTCTTGAAAATCTTGCCAGGCACGTGTGCGTATGTTCCCAAAATCTCAAGAAGGGAATGGAGGAGAAGGGATTGTGGTGTGGCATCCTACCCCGGGGGGGGGGTGATTTCTCACTTTCTGTCTCTTTTCTCTCTCTCTCCCCTCTCTGGTGAAAATTAGAAATTAAATTATCAAAACAAAGTTGGTTATTAAATGTCTTAACATATTATTTGTGGAATGAGTAGTGTGCGTGTGTTCCCAAAATCTCAAGAAGGGAATGGAGGAGAAGGGATTGTGGTGTGGCATCCTACCCCGGGGGGGGGGTGATTTCTCACTTTCTGTCTCTTTTCTCTCTCTCTCCCCTCTCTGGTGAAAATTAGAAATTAAATTATCAAAACAAAGTTGGTTATTAAATGTCTTAACATATTATTTGTGGAATGAGTAATACTACCTCAGAGAAAATTGATCAAGACTCTTCAAGACCAGCCCCCACTAATTACTTGGGAGTTCAGAACTAAAAGCTCTCTTCTACCTTCTCTGATAGATACTAAATAGTTGATATTATTTGGGTTTGGGATTCTAAATAATTAGTTTTCTCTTTTAATCAGGCTTATATCACAAATTATTAATTCCTTTCTCCCTAGGAATCCATACCTGGATTTGTTTGTTGCAGTTGATGTAGTAGCATAAATTTCCATGAATGCACAAATTTTAAAGTACAGCTTGACACCTGTGTACACCTGGTAACCCACACTGCACAAGAGGCAGGTGGTTTCCATCACCCCGGCAAGTTCCCTTAATGCTTATCAGTCAATTTTTCCCCACCTCCTGAAGAAAGATAGTTATTTATTTTTTTTGAAGTTTGTTTCTTCCATGAGTCAGAGAGAGAGGCAGAGGCAGATATAGACACCCTCAACAGGGTCTTCACACTGAGCTCCACCCTCAGCCTCAGTCAGCATGCGTCATGGCTCTCACCCAGCCTGTTCAGGGCAGCCCCCAGATGTGAGTCAGCCTCATACAGCATTGCACTACCACTGTGTACCTCTGCCCTGATGGTTGTTTGAGTGAAAAGTTTGTTTTTTAAAAAAGGAAGCTGAGTGCAGTTCTTTTTCTTTCCTTTTTAAAAAATTACCAAAGGGTGTGTGAACTTGCCAGAGAGACACAGTGAGACAAAGAGAAAGGGAGAAGGCACTTCCCCATGGGGCACAGTAATGTCACAGTCCCTTTTTCATCTCCACTCTGTCAGGATTTGAGGCATGTATGTACAAATGACCAGCAGTTTTTGTTTTGGCTTGTTTTCTGTGAGAGACTTTTTTTTTTTTTTTTGCTGTAGGGCATGTTCTCTTGACAAAGAGACAGAGAGCAAAAAACCACCACCACCCTGGGGGAGTGGGGGAGAGGGGTGACTATGCTCCAATCCCTCCTCCTCCATCCTCTTCTTGGGATTTGGGGCATGCATGCATATGTATCTAGTGTGAGTTTCAAACTGCCAGGATCAGCTACATAGGAGCCCAGCACCTCAGCCACTGTGCCACCTGCTGGCCCTGACCAGTGTGTTTTTTGAACCACCGAGGCCTGGGTTTGAACTGCAGTTGGCTGTGTGGGACCTGGCTCCCTTAACCACTAGGCTACAGGGCCTGCCCCAGGATCGGTATCTATATAAGAGCATTAGCATTGTGTTATTTTGGCCAAAGCATGATCAGATGGTCTTGGCTAGGACACTT